GGGTCCCGCGCCGGGAGCCCGCGTGGATGAGATACTCTCGCTCACGGATGAGCCCAAATCATTCAGGGATGAGCATCCCTCATTCATGGGTGAGCCCCCCTCATTCATGGATGAGCCCCTCTCACCCAGGGATGAGCCCCTCTCACCCAGGGATGAGCCCCCCTCACTCACGGATGAGCCCCCCCTCAGGGATGAGCCCCATTCAGGGATGAGCCCCCTCACGGCGCACCGAGCGCGGGCCGCAAGACGCCCGCGGGGTCCGCCACCGGGGCTGCCAAAAATTGATTACGGCTCCTCAGGAAAGCGAATGCAGAGCTCTTTATACAGTTACCATTTGTGCTGTTAAGTTTCTTCCTATTTTTGTTTATTTATTATGCCAATGTATTTCAAGTCTTTGAGTTGGAGCACCTTTGTATGCACATATTTTCCTCTCTAGAAATTCGTTAAAACTGCTGGATATATGAACTCGCATCTTGTTTGGACCTTTTTAGCAGTAGAACCCTCAGACCTTGCAGGCAGAGGTTGCAGATCATCGGTCAGAGCTGTGTGCAGGGGAACAGCAGTGATCTGCAGCAGCTGTTTGTCCAAGCGCAGAAAGCAGCAGTGGCAAAGCTAATTAATTCATTTGTCAGCTCCGTGCCTTCTGTTTAGTGCACATGCTAGCAGTGAACCACATTATTTCACAGCAATCCAACTATTTTGTGGTAATGCGACGATGTTCTTCAAATGTTTATTAAAAATATCCTTAAAAGGTTCGGTGGAAAAAGAATACTTCGGTTTGCTTCTCCTACTGGGTTTTGTTTCCTCTTGTTCTGTTTCACTCTGAATCCCCAGTGTTAAACCAGACGCGATCCCTGAGGTCCCTGAGGTCCGTGTGCCCCTGATGTGGGACCTCCCGGCGCTGCGGGGCCGGGGGACACCGCGTTGCTCCAGGTAGGAGCCAGGGGGACGAGCAGGACAAGTAAGGCTATTGGTATGTTCTTGAGAGATGGACAGGGCTTGACAGCTGGCAAGCTGGATGGCTTCTCCAAAAGAAGAGGCTGCAGTCCTACCTGTGTGTTAATGACAAGACTTTACTCGTTCAGTGAATCTATTTTTATTGGGTTTGCTTTTAAAATAATAAAATATGCTAAGGATTCTTTCTTTTCCAAGCAGAGGAATATACTGGTATTATAAACATGTGTGTTTGCAGCAGCAGTGCTGTCCAACTTCCACACAACTCAGTATTTAGTGCACTGGAGTGCCAGCCTGCAGAAGTGCTCCCTAGTCTACAGCATGCTGTAATGATGCTAGTTCCTGGCTAATCTGCAAAATATGTCATTACAGGTGGTTTTGGACAGCTTTAATTCTCCTGCACTGAGAGGGGCCTTTCAGCATTGTCTTCAATCAGCATTTTGAATGAAGCGCTTAATTGTGGCAAAAATTCATTGCAATACGTAAGCAGTTCCAGAGGACTAGTTTGTTACAGTTTCCTCTCATGTCTTGTATTACTAGACATATGGTTCTGTAGTGTATAATGCAACTACTCACATTCAGCTTCATTTGACATTTGTTCCTATTCAGTTTAAAATTGCAGTATTCAGAACACTACATGATTACAGGATTTCATTATGTTGTCAATCATTTTTTGTTTAGATGAGCAAATCATTAACAATTACTTCCCTTTTATCCATATCTTCAAAGACAGGACATGGTCCTTCCTTTTGTGATCCATCAGCAGCTGAAGCGTTCCTGAAAGGAAACCTGTTGAACATACATGGTTAGATTTTGAATAAGTTATTCTCAAATCTAGTAGAGTAATTACAGTGCCTAGAAAAGCTAGACACATCAAATGTAGCTCAGTTCCTGGATGAATACATATTTTTTGTGGGATTTGAGATCCCATTTTAAATATTCATCTCACTGTCCTTTTAAAGAAATGTTTTACAAGATTAAACAAATGCCAAGCTAATAATTTCCTTCTTGTTATGCCGAGTGCCACCCAAGTACTTTTTAATATCTTAAGACTTAACCTCATTTGGAAAACTAATAAAAAAATTAATAGTTCTGAGTTCTGATACTTTATATGCAGACTTTTAGTTGCAGTCCGGCTGTTGAGAGAAATTTAAATTCCCCAGGATGAAAGTGCTGACACTAAGCAACAAAACTCCACAACACAGCTTCCAGCAGAAAGATGAATTGCCATTGTGCCCATCCATGTATTGTCCTTCCTTTCCTACTGTAGAGTTTGGCAAGAGTTAGTTGAGCCCTCTATTGGTTTTGAAAAAGGGCGTATTCTCCACAAATCCAAAGCAAAGTAGCTCCTGTAAGCTGAACATTCACTAATAGCAAATGTAATGAAACTAAGGAGACAATGAAGAACTTTCCACAGGTCAGTGCTTTTTCCAAATCCAGGGGCTTTTCTTCATCTTCAAAGAACTTTTTTTTGGCATGACTTTGGTTAGGAACTCTGAAAATCATAAAGATGGTTTTCAGATGGTTCAGATGCTGGTTAAGCATCTGAAAATCATTAAATCAGTCCAAACCTGAAAGTCTAAGAACCAGACTAGAAAGAAATGTTTTGGGAGGTAAATTTAGGTAAGTTAGATGACCTGCTTGTTTTTATTTCTTCCCAGAGTTTTTTCTGGTGGAAAATGACAGAAAGAAATGAGACACTCAAGAAGTTGTTGAGACACACTGATCCCCAAAACACTTTAGATATTTTGATGTCTGGGGTATTTTCTTCTGCCTTGCTGACATGGCTGGAAATCTGCAAAGGCAAAGTCCTACATCTCTGTCAGGGGGATGCAACAGTAGAATAACATCTCAGGTGGTACCATGTCTGCATATCACTGTACACATTCCATCCACAGAATCATCCTGGTTGCCTCTAAAGATTTAGCCCATCACAAGGTGTTGGCATCTCTCTTTGCAGTTGCTAGGTTGTTGTTATAAGGCAGTTAAAAACATATTAAATACTTTCCTAAAATTATTTTTCCATGCAGGCAATTGCTGTATTTGGCACAAAGATATTATACAATCATTAATGGGAAGTGAAACTGAGCCAGTTTCTCTTCAAAGTGTGGCCAGCCCTACAGGACAACTTCAGAACTCCTGCTTCTACTATGTTTAGTTGTGTGTGTTTAGAAACTGCTTTGGTGTTATTCACCTCCTGACACTGACACTTTTGCTGTGCATAGCTGAGATTCTTGCATAATTTAACAGACCCATCTCAGGTGTCTCCCACTCTGTTCCCAGCGTTCAAGCTGTGTTCTCTGGATTGTGGCACACAGTTTGTGGTACATTACATTTACTGAAGAGTTTACCAGACTTGCTTATTTAGAAAAAATTCTAGAAAACAGCTTTGGTGGGTTTTTTTTTCAATCACATCTATTTGATTTGCTCCAAAAATACTTAGGACAGCTGTCTCCAGCCAAGTTTATTTCCTTGATTTTTCCCTGATATGAGTATGTAAATAATATCCTATTTTTCATCTCAAATTCCAACACTGTTGGTGAAAGTGAAATAAATAGTCATAGACATTTTTTTTCTGTTGCATTTTAAATACTTGGGGTTTTTTTTTGTGTTACTGTTTTATCTTCATAGTATTCCAGCAGATAGGCTTGTGGATAGCACAAACGACTGGCTGAGTGGAACTGGAACCAGCAAAATATCTGTTTCAGTCATTGCAAACTGAGGATACTGGAAAATATAATGTTTCAGTCATTACAAATCAAGGATACTGGAAAATATGTTAAAATGGTTTCATTTATTAAAGGCATATTTAGTTTGTTTTCTCACTTTTTCCTATTATAATTGCAAAACCTTCTGAAGTTTTTCTGTTCAGCAGTACTCTGAAGTATTGCTATCTAGGCGTAGTAAATGAATCATGCAAATTATTTTATTGAAAGAACACGCACATTCATGTGTACACGTTATTTGCCTGGTCTTCCTATTACAGATGCAACTTGTAGTAATATCCTAGTTTGTTAAAGCAAAAAAACTGCTCTAGAGGTTACAGATTTCTGACTGATAGAGTAGGAATCTGTCATGCTTGTGTAGGGCATGTGGAGCTTGAATACAGTAGTATGAATATTAATAGATATATATATATTATATATAGAAATATAATTTGTATTCAATAATAGATCTTGAAATATGTTGAACATTATTTTTTTGTTGGTTTAGGTTGAGAATTTTTTCTAGCTTCTCATAAGGTAATTTTACTTTCTTCTTTCATTATATTTATAAAAGTCTAAATACATAATTTTTTTTCCCTTCACCTTGTAAAATTTTTCTGTCTATAGCATTAGTCATGGAATGCTAGGTTGGAAGGGACCTGAAGGATTATCTGGTCCAACCTTTCTTGGCAAAAGCATCATCCAGACCAGATGGCCCAGCACCCTGCCCAGACTAATCTTAAACGTGTCCAAAGTTGGGAAATCTACCCCTTTTTCTGGAGATTACTCCAGTGGTTGGTTGTTCTTGTAAAAATATTACTCTTGTGTCCAATCGGAATCTGTGCAGATGTAACTTGTACTTAATACCCTTTGTCTTTTCCATGTGTCTCATTTTAAAAATTGACTCTTCATCTTCTTCGTAGCCACCCTTTGAATACTAGAACCATTACCTCCATCAGGTCTCTCTTAAGCCTTCTTATCTCAAGGCTGAGCAAACCCAGTCATCTCAGCCTTTCCTAAAGTGGCAGGCTTTGAGCCCTGGGATCATCTTTGTGGCCCTTCTCTGGACCCTCTCCAGCTGCCCACCTATTTTTTGTGTAGCAGGGACAAAAACTGAATTCACTATTCCAGGTGTAGTCTGGCAAGTGCTGAGTAGAATGGGATAATAACAACTTTATCTCTGCTGGTGATGCCTCTGTTGATTCAGCCCAGGATCCTGTTGGCTTCTTTGCTGCAGTGGCAGACTGCGCATTCATATTTAACCACTTGTCCACCTGAGCCAGGTTCCTTCCTACAGAGCTTCTCCCCAGCAGCCAGTAGATCCCAACCTGTTCTGCACTCATGGATTATACTTTCCCAGGTGCAAGACTTTACACTTGTCCTTCTTCACAAGGTTCTTGGTAGCTCACTCTTCCAGCCTATTCAGGTCTTCCTGCAGGTTGGCTCTTCATCCCGAAGTGTCCAGTCTCCCACTCAGTTTAGGGAAGCAAAATTCATCAGGGTGCACTATCATCCAGATTGCTTTTGAAGATATTAAACAATGCTGGGCCCAATATTGATCCCTGGGAGGCCCCACCTGTGGCAGGTTGCCAGTTTGAAAAGGAGCTGTTTGTCACCCTGCTCTGGGTGCAGTCTCTCAGCCAGCTCCCCACTCACCATGTGGACCCTCGTCGAGACCATAACACCTCGGTTCTCTAGAAGGAGCCTGACAGAAACTGTATTGAGAGCCTTGGAGAAAGGCACGTAGATAATGTCTACTACTCATCCCACATCAACTGAACAGGTTACGTTGTTGTAGTAGGTGATCAGGTTCATCAAACATGGTTTACCCTTAGTGAACCCATGCTGGCTTTTCCTAACTACATGATTCATCTGATAGCCCCAGGATTCGTTACATAATTTTCCCAGAAACTGAAGTAAGACTGATGGCCTATAATTTCCTGGAGCTTCCTTTAAGCCTTTCATATAAATGGGTGTAACATTAGTCTTCTGGGTTGCACCTAGTCTCCACAACTTCTCAAAGCTTGTGGAGAGTGGCCTCATAAAAACATGAACCAACTCCTTATGCCCTTGGGTGGATATTGTCAGGCTCCATTGATTTGTAGGGATCAAGTTCCTGTAGAGTTCATCCACCAGCTCTTCATTCACTGATGGTGGGTCTGTGTTCACATCAATCTGGATTTTTGTTCCCAAGGCCTAGGGCCCAATAGAGCTGGTAAAGAGAGGTGAAGAAAGCCTTGAACCTTTGAAGTATTATTGGTGACTAATACACCTCTCCTGTTTAACTCTGGGCCAGTATTTCCCTTCTGCTTCTGCTTGTTGATTACACACCTGAAGAACACTTCCTTGTGGTTTTTGACATCTCTGGCCCATTTCAGCTCAAGCTTTTGCTTTTCTGATTGTATCTCTGCATGCCCTGGTAGTTCTCAATGAGTACTCATTCATTTTTCTGTCTCTGGTACAGGTCTCTTTTAGTTTTAAGCAGACACACAAGCTCTGAATTAAGCCAAGTGGGTCTTTTGCTCCACCTACTTTCCTTGCCTTTAAAGGGGATGAATATTTTGTGCTTCCAGGAGAGCATTCTTGAAAAATTCCCCGTGCTCACTAACTCCTTTATCCTCCATGGAATCTCTCCCACCTGAGCTCTGAGTGAGTTATGATCTTCAATGATCTCTATGATCTCTTTGTCTAAGTACTAACCTTCAGTGTACTCAGCCATTACTCAGTGTTTTTCTGTGGGACTGCCTTTAGGATTTCTAGTATATGGTAATTTCTCCTCGAGATCCAGCTATCATAGAGGTACACACATCTTCAGATTTGACCTTTTTATTCTGCATGCTTGGTGAGCTTACCATGGATGTTTTTGTTGTGCATAAGCTGTTTTGAATGTTTGTGCAATTTTGATAAATAACCAAGCTCAATTTTGTCCCTACTCCATATATGTCTTGTTCTTCTTGCTCAATGTTAAAGTTTTCCTTACTGCAAACCATGCTGAAATCCTTTCTGCCATTCATACCACCAAGTTCTCACTTATGAAGTAGAAACTAAATGAAGTGATTGAGCAGAAATACAACAATTTGTCTCATAACAATTTACCTGTCAGGTTTACACTTCAAATTTTGTTTTACTTTGAATCTTTTCCTGGATGTCTTCCTCAGGGACTTATTTCCAAACCATACTAGATAAGCTTTTCTCTTATATATATATATATAAACTTGACCAATCATGAGGCTACTGTCCAATTTGCTGAGCTTTGCAAAACATCCATTGATGCTTCTCCATCCAGCTTGAGAAGTTCTGTCAGAGCCTTCTTCAACTTGGAGTCTCCCTGCTCTGAAAAGTTACATTTATCAGGTTATTATATTAATTGTTAACGCTATTTCAGGTTTAATGGTCGCTGGTTTTCAATTCACAAAATTCAATAGATTTTTGTGTAATTCCTCATTGCATGATCAGTGCCTGGCCATCCCTTGTTTTTCTTACTAGAATTTTACATGCTTTATCAGTCCTAGTTTGCAGTTAAAATACTTCCATTATTGGCATCCAGAAACCAAACTTCTCCTCAGAGTTTTGCTGCCATCTCCTGATCCCTAGCACACCTACTGGTATCTTATGTAATATTGTTTAAGGGTTTGGATTTGCTCAACTAAGCCACCTACCACCACCAAACTGCACTGTACCAAAAGCAGTCATGTCCTTCATACTTCCTTAATGTTAATATTATATTTTAAAATGGTATTAGGAGAGGAGAAAATATGCAGTAGTTTACAATACTTCAAAACTAGGGTATATTTATGAGTTAAATGCTGATGCAAAAGTTTCTTACAAAACAACTTCAGGATTTGTGGAGGAGTTGTGAAAGAATTAAAGACACAATGAATGCAAAGTTTAGAATGTATCATCCCTAATTAAGCTTCCACTTTACTTTGCTGAACTCCTGGGAGGGTGAACTGTTTGCATCACAAGATACTTAAAATGTCACTGCTTTCTTTATCTTTCCTGGCAGTTACAGAAAAATACTATTATTAATGAATTTGGATGTGGCTGCAAGCCAAGAATGTGCTGTTTCATGAGTGTGATCCTGCATTTGCAGGATTTTAGTCTTCCCCTCACAGACTGAAGAAAAGTCAGATGCTAAGAGATCAAAGTCAGAAGCTGGGGAATGAGATCTACTGTGTTTTTGAATGGCAGGCAGAAGAAGCATGAAGAAAATAGAATATAGTCAGATAAACAGTTATCATTTCATTTTAATTTGTTTTCTGATTGCCTGATCTCATTTGCCTACATTTTCTCCACAAAGCCCTGTCTAATCCTCCCCAGTGCTAAGGCAAGGAGCAGTTTGCTGCTCCATTCCCTTTGGGCTGTGCATGGAACTGAACAGAAAACAGATCTCCCTTTAGTAAATACTAAATTATCATCATGTACAGCTGATGTACTGACCTGAACTTTTAGGCAATGCATTAGAAAAGAGGCCACTGCTCAGGTACAGACATGATACCAAGACTAACAGTAATTATGCAACTGCAGTCCCACAAAAGCACATTAACCAATAAAGATATGGGAGCCAGATGCAATTTTTCATAAATTGGCATATACTTGTGGCATGTTTTGAGTTTTAAATTCTCTCATGGAGTAACTGATGCTGAGTGCTTCTGGCAAACAGCCTATCCCAGAGGGAAAGAGGGTTGCTGTGGAGCTAACTTCGCCCTCTCAGTTCACAGATCTTGCTATGTGGCTGCAAACAGGGGAATATCAGAACAGGAGTCACAGTGCCTGAGAATTGTGTCACCCGCACTTGTGCATTTACTGGGTAGTAGAATTTTCTAGACTGAAAAATGAGTACCTATTACTGATAAGTAA